TGGGTGGGTGGGTGGGCGGGTGGGTGGGTGGGTGGGTAGTTAGGTAGGCATAATGTATGTATGTGTATATATATATATGTATATACATACACATACACATATGTATGTGTGCAGCATTCATGATGCAGGTGGAGCTGTGCCATCACTTGTTGAAACTCCTGGCGTTACTGGTGCATCAAAACGGCTCGACTTTTCAGCAGCCACCTGAAGATGGGCTGTGGCGTTCAAGCATCGGAGCTTGAGGCTGAAGTCTCATGGCTCAGGGTTAGGGTTTAGGGTTTAGGGGCTTAGAGTTTAGGGTTCAGGGGGCTTGAGCCATGAGGGGAAAGCGTGAAAGGCCAAATACCCAAAATTAAAGGCCCAACGTCTCAAGCCAAAGGCCTTGCCACTTCACTACTATTCAAGGTACTTGCTCAAACCACAAGTCCCCAAATCCTAAAACCTACTCCAAATTCAAACGCATACAAGCTTCACACCCATGGCTTTGCTCCAGCCCAAACTCCCAGGCGCTAACAGCCAGATGGCAGAGCATAGACTTTGTGCTATGTCAATCATACACTATTGCGAGTCATTATACACTCCACAGGACTTCGTTTGCAAGCCCTCCTGGAACCTAAACATTATAAAACCTCAAGCATAGATCCTAAACCCTCATCCCACAGATCTCTGACGCCCCAAGGAAAATCTCCTCGCGCAGGCGTGCAAAGCCTCAAGCTCTACCTGCTCTGTGAAGCTACTGGCGTAGGATTGAAGATTTAGGACTTTAGGATCTAGTGCTTGTAGGTTTTATGGGGCTTAGGAATCAGGATTTAGGATTCAGGATTCTAGGCTAGAGCTAGTCTAGGCCAGGGATAGCTTCGGTTTTAGGGCCTTAGGGTCTAGAGTGACTTTGCAGGTTTAGTTTCGAACTTCAGGACTCGGGCTTAGGCGATGCCTTTCTTAATGGGTATGTATTTTCCAGCTGCTTGATTTCTGCAGCTGAAGCAGGCTCTTGCAGAGCGCTTACAGGGGCTTCGACTTACACACGGCAATGGTAGAATGCGAGAAGGGTTCAGCCCCTAATCCACATTCCCTCCTCGTCTCACTACAGCAAGAGACGTCTCATACCATTGTTCCCGAAACTTTGCGCCAGGCAGTGCTCCTGAACCGCCAGTAGATGGGGGGAAAGGCTTGCGGTCGCGTCTGTGAAGCCCGCCAATAAATGGGGGAAACCACTTTGGCCGCATGACGTCGTGGTTTCCTGGTGGTTCTCCTGGTGGTGTCTTGAGGTCTCCTGGTGGCTGCTGGTGGTCGCGATGGTGGTCCTGGTGGCAATAGTGCTCGTGGTCGTGTAGGTCGTCGTGGTCGTCGTGGTGCGCTGTCACTGTTTGGGGATTTGCACTGGCAGAACTATTATCTACAGACCTACAATCCTACACCACTACAGTATAGTGCTAGAGCAAACGGGACTACAGTACTCCAGTTGGTTCACCATCAACACTTCCTGCACGCCTGGATCAGCAGTACATCCAAACCCTAAACCCTAATCCACTAGCTTCCGCCACAACCCTTCTTACACAGGCTTGGTTGGAGCTCGCCCGGCCACCGAAACCCTGAACCCTAAACCCTAATCCAACAGCTTCCACCTAAACCCTAAACCCTAAACCCTAAAACCTATGAGAAGGCCTCAGCCGCTTCGGGAGTGTCCTTGGGCGTCTCGAGGTCCTCGAGATAGGATGTGCGGTCTTGGGAGGCAGCATACTGGAAGTATAAAGTCATTATAAGGGACATTATTAGTATGATTATTACTCGTGTTGTTATGATTATAATGACTATTACTTGTCATTCTGATGACTATCAGCTATTATGATAAAGGTTATTCGTATTTATGAGATGTGCGGAAGCAGCCCATCGCGGATCAAGGTAGCTAAGGCCTGGATAAGGACTGTCTCCGGCATGCGCGTAAGCTTGTCAAGGGGCCCATGCTAAGAAAAGCAACAGATTCACTCCTCTCTTGTTGGCTTGTCAGATTCGACAGCTTAAGTTTTCCATCTCCATGAAACTAACTCTGGCTACCAAAAAAGATCTACGCTGGAGACCACGGCTGTTTTATTAAGACGTCCATAAACATCTCAGGGTCGGGCTAGATCAGCCGGGATCGGACGCCAGGGTTTTAGGATGAGGGGCCCGACACGGCAAACCTCAAAGGGGCAGCCTAGCTGCCCTTGGGGGAGGGCTGTAGTGAAGGAACTAAGCGTTGGGGTTTAAGGCTTTTGTGCATATAGGGGGTCGAGGTGGGAACAGTATTCCAACCCGGGCGTAAAACGCCGAAGCAGAGAAACTTGGCAGGTTTGTGGGGAAGTTTTGCAGCTATGCGGTTTAGGTACGTGAGCATAGACTGAGAACGGTTTTGGGACTTGAAAGCCAGTTTGGGGCTCGGGGGTTTAGGGTTTAGGGTTTTGGGTGTAGGGTTTAGGGTTTGGGTTTAGGGTTTTGGGTTTGGGTTTAGGGTTTTGGGATCACCAGGTCGAAGTGTTTTGCCCCGCGAGTAGCCTCAAGCGACAGCACACAAGATGCTCCTGTCTCACCCTTCCGTGAGCAATTGCTTCGCTCGGCAGATTTCGTGACATGGGTCTGCCGTTGAAGGGGACTACCGCGATCTTCAGTTTCGTTTCTGCACAGAAGGCTAATTACAGTGAGCGAATTACAGCTCGTATGGTACAGCAACGGTTGCCTACGTTGTCCACTCCTTTATAGCCCCACTCGCTTCCCGTGACAGCCTAACGAGAGTCGGATTGTATAAAGTACAAAGAAGCAAGTTGTCAGGATTCACTTAAGTTTCGGGTTTGGGATTTGGGCATCTAGGTTGATAAGTATGACCATGAGGCCGAAAGCTCCAATCAAAGCGAGCAGCAAAATGCTGTCACTCTCTACAGAGCATGCTGTCATATCATAAAACCCGTACGAGACACCGTATGAGTCAAACACCCTAAACCCTCAACCTTAAGTCCTAAACCCTAAACACAGGTTCTCACAATGCCCCTGTAGTGTGGCTCCGGCTTGGCGGCTTCGAGTTCTCCTAGCGAGCTCGCCAGTCCGCACCTCCCTGCCGCAACACGGACACCTGCTTGACGATCTTGTAGTGGAGGTGTGGAACAGTGCGGAGAAAGAGGAACCGATAACACGTCCCAAACAATGGGAGGAGATATGACCCAGTCTTGTAGACCTGAGTGTTTCAGAAAGTCCCAATATGAACCTAAAGTAGTTGGGGTTTCGGGCTTTAGTGGGATTTTTATACAGGAAAGTATCCCATTCCCATGGCACCCCGAAACCCTAAACCCAGGTCTAGGGTTTAGAGTTTAACTTACCCCACCTTGAGGGACAGCCAGCATGGGATGCTCTCGCCCGGGCGGGTTACGGCGTAATCTTGGCGACCTTCCACCGGCTTCACACCCGTGCTCGGAGTCAACGTTACCTGAAAGACCAAAGGGGACTTGAGACTTCTTGTCCCTCAGACCCCAAAGGTATGTAGAACACTAGCCGTTTAGAGGCATTGGGCCATTTGGTTACCTTCTTGGGGCAGGAGGGGTTTAGGTACTGTCTTACTTATACTGTCAAGGAACCCTGAACCCTAACCGTGCCATAAACCTCTTATATAGGGCTCATTTTGGACCTTCAGACACCTTGTTGATGTCATGGAAGTTTTGAGTTCCACTTGGGGCTTTTCGCGCACACTCCGCCATAAGAGCCTGCTTCTCCATGGATGCTTTGGCAGCTGTTGCCTCGTCGAAACACTCATACTCTGCAGTGATCGTCACTTGTGCAAAGGGATGGTCTTCATAACCTGATAGCCATTTTTGAGTGTTGAAACGTTTCAGCCTCCGAAAGACTCCCAGTGCGCACCAAAATGCAGAAGCATGGTTTGCTAACAAGGACTCTTATGCAATCCTAGATGCCTCTCTTCTAATCTTGGGACCCTTGCGAACAATTGAATTGTTAGTTGTTTCTTAGGGACAAAAGTAACCGAACATTGAGCCCTACTACTAAGTACCCCTATGACCTCGCCATAAGAGTATGGATCTTCTGTCTGGGGAACTCTACTTACTTGGAGGTTCATGGCTAGTTATAAGTACGGCTTAGAGGGTTCCTTAGGGGACTTGTAAATCCACGTATAACTAGCCATGAACCTGCAGGTACTGCTCTCTTCAAACGTTAATGGTGCTTGGTCCGTCCCTGCCTGATACCGGGTCTGACACATCGCGCCAGCTTGTGAAGGCGAAGGTCTGTGACGCGGTTTGCTTGTGCAGAACTTGATAGTTTAGCTTTCTGCCGCCACCGATAGCCTTTCTCCCTGTTTTTATGCCCTCGGCGACGTGCTCGATACTCGGCGCGGCACTATGCAACTGATCGAAAAGCTGCTGGAAGTCGGCATGTGGCATGTCGTCCTGTATGGCCTCCAGCCCAGCAGTGACGGGACCACCAGAATCCAAGAAACATTGAAGGAGGACATGGAACAGAAAGATGCCCACAAGCTGCATGACAATGATGTGCCACTTGTCTGGGCGAGCCTCAAGATCCTGACAAAAAACCCCAATAATGAGACATAGAACCAATGCCTCTTCAAACGCAAGGCAGAAGAAGTTGCAACCCAAGCTGGAAGTCGAGCGGTCGCTTTCTTGCAGGGGTGCCTCTGCATCTGACTCCGAGCTACTCATGGCGAGGGTACCCGTACGTATACGGTATGAGGCTACGCACAGGAGTGCGAAGAACTCTTAGTGTGGTCTCGCTGCCGAACCGTGGAAGCTGCGGCGAAGCTGGATCATGTTGGATCTACTCTAGGTTCCTGTTAGGCATGTACAGTTAAGTCAGCATAGCAAGAAAATCTAGTATTTACTGTAGATCCCTATGACGGTAACTTCAACTAAATTCATGTAACGAGAAGCCAATACTGCAAACTTGCGAATCACTGAATGTATTTAATCCTCCCTGCACCCAGTTCTTTGTATGGGATGCTATCCATAACATAGGTTTGTCTCAAAAGTGAAGGTTGCAGAAGGCTGGTCCGAAGATGAGCAATTGGGAATAGGCTTGACCCATACTATAGCCTGCATTGAAGTTACATTTTTGGTTTAATCCCTTCTTATTCAGGATCCTATCAGGTAACCCGAGCAATAGGAATCGCAATGGAGACTATTATAGGTAGGGTCTAGCGTTAAGAGTTTAGGGGTGCTTCTGGGTATGCATTCGACTCGTTACTTACAGTTACTTGGAGGTTCATGGGTAGTTATAAGTAGTGTTATAAGTAGGGTAACTATAGTTACAACCTATATTAGGGGACTTATAACTCTACGTATAACTACCCATGAACCTCCAAGTATACCCAAACCCAAAACCCCCAAACCATCAACTCGGGAACCGCTGAATCACATACCCAAACCGTAAGGCCGCAAGACAGCGCAACTATAAAGGGACTGCGGCGAAATGCCATCATTACTGCGATCACCGTCATAATTGTTATGATCATGATGATGACGATTCTGGTTACTATTACAGTGACTACTTTTGTTGTTGTCCTTATATCCCAACCCTACTGTAGATAAAGCATCGAGACTGCCGGGAATTGATGTCCTTGACGTAGAATCATGAGCAATCAGATCCTTTATTTATGGGCGACTCTTTGGAGTTCGCTGTTCGGCTTGGGGTGTTAGGGTTTAGGGTTTAAGGGTTTGGGATTGCGGTTAAGACGTGGGCTTTCGATTATTCCTGGTCTCGCCTACGCAGCTTTTTCTCGGCATTCAAACGGCAGGGCTCGGCGTAACCAAAGGTCCCCACAGCCCTCATGTCACTTGAGGATTTTACACGTCGTAGCGAAAAAACACTTGTATCACCATGTTAGGCACGTTTGTTAGCTACGAGGATTTCAGGGGAAGCGAGCTCCATGCGTATGCAAAGGTGCTCGCAGCACTGCCTGCTTCATGTGCTAGGCCGCCGCGCCCAAGACGGCACAGCAGCTTCATCGGCAATCATAATGTGGCGCGAAACTCTAGGCTTCTGTAAACCCTGATAACCTGACCCGGGCCCATAGCAGGAATCAAGAGATCTAGCTGGAAAAAGCCCAGAAGGGCCCATTTTGACTAGGACATCTTTTCTTATCTTCTCAGTCCTTTAGTTAGAGTCTCTGGCAGAAAAAAACTGCTAAACCTTGTAGTCGCTGAAGGACAAGTAAAGCTCACATCTGAACCTTACACCAGTACAGCAAAATGCATCTGAGTGTAATCGGGATCCTAACTTCCTAAGAGACAGAGCCTATAAATCAGTAACATTCCCCTGGGGGTCCAAGTACCTGAAAATTTTATACTCTCGCAAATAGTAACCTACANNATCCTAAACCCGAGTACCTAATTCTTAGGCTCTGAGTCCTTGCAGTTGTCCCTTACAAGCAAATGTTCCGCGATCACAGGCCGCGAAGCGTTCGAAGAAGGGGATTAGGTTTTAGGGCTTAGCAGTTTACGGTTGCAGGATCTATTGGCGGAAGTTGACCAAGTTGACCCACTCTGACCCTCAGACATTCCCTAAACCCCTA